TGTACATAGTACACATTTGTATCCCGCACGTAGAACACGCACGGAATCTCCTAAACTTAGAAAAAAAGTAACCCGTATTTGAAAACCCGTTTCTGTGACTAGGGCGGTTCTACAGCTATTGATATTTACATCTTTGTACAAGGTACATAGTACGTATTAATAATATTTACATTGCATACATAATATGCACTTATTAATATGAACATCATAATAATGTTTACATTCCATACATAGTATGCACTTAATAATATGCGCGTCAGTAGTTTTTGAATCACCGCCTCATCCCACCCACAATGAACCGTTACGGCCAGCCAGCATTTGCCGAATTCCTCTCTACCATGGGTAGAGATCCGGTTCTTTAGTTGCACTCTATTTCTTTCCTGACGCTATGGCAGACTACTCCAGGGATCTGCTTTTAGGACCAACGTCCTTTCTCGTGGTTTACAATGCCACGTTGTTAGGATATCGGATTCCCATACTACCTATTGGCCAGGTGGCATTTCACCAACCTGTTGGTTCCTAAGGCTGCGCTTCTTGCCAATTTCTCCAGAATGAAATCAGTCTTGTCGCGCAACCCAAGGCTTTGGACATATCGTCTTAGGGCTGGAGTGCATTCACCGCATGTGCCAAGCACTATGGGAACTACATCCACCCTACTGTGTCTATCCTTTTGCAGGACCGCCTTGAGGTTTGGCCCTGGTCTGAAGTCCTCCAGGGCCGTATCTTCAGGCATGGTGCTGTTAACACCGTACTTGGAGATTTTCCTCTTTTCTTGGTTTGCGATCCGTGTGTACCATGAGACCGAAATCTCGATGATCCAAATACGTTTTGCTCGCCTGTCCCAGACTAGTATGTCGGGACGGTTATGTCTCAAGCTTTCGCTTGTATAAACTGGATTATTCCAATGTATCTCTAACTCCTTGCCCCACTAATACGTGGGGCTCATGAGTATTCCGACACAGTGGCTTGTAATCCGTATTTCTTTTTGAGTGAATAGTATATCACTCTTGCTACATCATCGTGTCTTTCGACCATGATGTTCGTACGCCAATGAGAGCAGCATGACAACTATATGTTCTGCTGTCTCCCTCATTGGGCACCCCATTCGGCATATTAACGGAAGCCTGTACCGCTTGCCCTGGGGCACTTGCTCTAGTGAGTAATGAGCCTTCTTGAACGGCCCATACGTTTCGGAGTACCTTCAGAAGAGACGCACCCTTTACTGCTCCACAGGAACGAGTCCTTTAAGCAGATTCGGGCTTGTCCCTCTGATTCCTCTAGCACTCTACTGGCTACCGTCCTCTTTTTCCACTCAGCGAGATGGTTCTCAGCCCATCTCTCGCGGATAAGAGTAGAGATAGCTCGTGCCGCTGTGGTCGCATTGCTATAGCTGCGACCGTTTACTTCTATGAACGTTAGCAACGTTCTGGTCACTTTTCCCTCAAGTCCGTTGGCTGCTAAGACGGACATTGAAGTCTGAGGTTAGTGACCGTTTACTGCTGGCACGTAGGCTTTCGGCCAGCTGATAGGGGACTATAAAGTCTGGATTAGAGGCGAGGTAGCACCATGTATAAACGAATGGTGTGTTCTACCTCCTCTTCCGCAGCTCTTGAATCCCAAGGCCCCCATCTTCTTTCCTAGACGTACAGTCTTGCGAACACAGCTGTATCCAAATCTCATATGAGATTCTTCTAACAGCTTCCGTACGCGTATGTCGAAATCTCGTGCTTGTTTCCGGAATGAGACGAGACGCCCCGCACCAAAAACGACACAAGATGCCGCATACTTTATCTTGGGAATTACTGTAAGGTTGAACCCATTAACCTTTTGCCGAACAGTGAGGTCACTGTTCATAATTCGCACGGCAGTTTCCCAAGCGTTACTCTGGACACGGGACCATAATTGCCCCATGGAAACAAGTGTACCTTGTTCTGCGCCCAGGTATTTATAGAAGGAGTTAGATCCTAGAATTGGGATTTCTCCCATTTCAATCTGCTCCTCCTTAGCTGTATTGAGTGATTTCACCGCGCATTTGCTCGGATTCATCCTCAGCCCCAGCTGTTTTGCTACTTTCTGGATTCCAGCCTTGGCTTTCGCCAGGTCGTCCCAGCTTGTAGTGTAGACTTTGAGGTCATCCATATAGAATATATGTCCTACCTCAAGGCTACCTTCTGATCTGGCGGAATTGCCAGTACTGGTCTTGTACGACTCGATATTTGAGCGCAACCAACCTGAGATAGGCGCTATGGCCATGCAAAACAGCAAAGGACTGAGGGTATCACCTTGCATGAGACCATTCCTGATCTCAAGAGGGCTACTCACCACAGCCTTACCGCTCTTAAAGCCACAGTACCTGACGCTTTGCTTGGACATAATTCTCCAGAGTATTCTCTGGATATTCAATGGTATATCCCATTGCTTTAATGTCCAGCGTATAGCGCCGTGAGACACGGAGTCAAACGCTTTGGTCATATCCACCCAAAGCATGTGTAACTCCCGGTGATGCTTAATAGCATCTCTGCATACTAGATCCAGTATGTGCGCATGAGTGCATCCCCATATCCCACGCCGAAGAGCGACCTGTTCCCGAGGGAATCGGTCACCGACGCATGCGATAATGCGGTTTGCTATCATGGCGGTTAAGACCTTGTAACATGTGTTCAAACATGCAATAGGCCTAAAATCTCCAGGCCCGGGGGCCACAGATTTTCCTTTTGGGATCAAGACGACCTTGCCTCTGCATAGCCATCTCGGTATAGCATCCCTGCGCCTGTGCAGTGTTTTGACACACCACTCTTTAAGACGC